TTGCATATTGTTTCTTTCAAGTAACTCCATTATTTTGTCTTAACAAAAACTTCCATCGTTTGTTCTTTGAATTTCTAAACCGAGATAATTTTTTACTGGCCCCAAATCTCTTACTTTAAATACCTTTCTTAGTTGTTCTGCAAATTTTTCCACTTGCTTGTCACCTTTTGTAGAGTAAAGCAAATCATCAACATAACACAAACACAATTCTTGTTTATCACCCTTTCCTTTAGTGTACAAGCAGTTATCAGCTAAGCTTCTTTTAAAACCAAGATTTTTTAAAGCATTATCAAGACACTCGCTCCAATTTCTAGCTGACTGTTTGAGCCCATAAATTGCTTTGTTCAGCCTATATACAGAATTCTGTTCTCCTGCCTCAAAACCTGGCGCTTGATTCATAAAAATCTCTTCTTGCAGATTTGCGTTAAGATAAGCTGTTTCAATATCAAAATGGTTTACCTTAAACCCACGTTGTGCTGCAAGAGCTAGCAATAAACGTACACTTTCACTCCTTGCAGTAGGAGAAAAGGTTTCATCAAAGCTTTCACCTTTTCTTTGAGTAAAGCCTTGTGCTACCAGTCTGGCTTTGTACTTAACATCACCATCTGCCAAGTGTTTTATTTTATACACCCATCTACAGCCCACTGCCTTTTTTCCTTCTGGCAATGGCTCAATGGTAAAGACATTGTGTTCTGCTAAAGATTTCATTTCTGCTTTCATTGCATTTTTCCACCTTACTATTTCCTGGTGTGGTAACTTTAAAACTTCCTCATAATCACGAGGTTCCTTTTTCACATCAACAGTTTTAACTTCTTGTATAGTAAACCTTTCTGAGGTACCCCCTTATTGCTTCTTTGTGACCTTCTAACTTGAACACTCTCCCCCTCTGAACTATCTTCCCCTTCTGATTCATCCTGCTCAGGAGAAATTGGTTCAGCTTTAGGAGATTGTGTACTGGGATCCTCATCCCCTGAATCCTCATCACTGTCACTTTCAGAACCTTCTTTAATTTGTGGCTTTTCTTCCTCAGATTTCACAAATTTATCTGTATCATCAGAAGATAACACAACTTCTGAATTTCCATGTAAACGAACCCAACCATCTTGCTCACAAAACTCTGCATGTCTTGATATTACAACTCTGCCACGCCCTAGTACAAAACGATACCCCTTTGACCAAGTTTGATAGCCAACAAACCTAAGTTTCTTTGCCTTGGGCTCTCCTTTCCTTCTCTGTCCTTTTGGGATGTGAACCCAAGCCCAGCAACCAAAAGTTTTAACATGGTCCAAAAAGGGTTTTTTTCCATAAAGCAAAAAATGAGGGGTGTTAATGGTAGAATGAAACAATCTGTTCTGTATGTAGTTAGCACACAGAATTCCTTCCCCCCAATACTTCCTGGATAGGCCAGAATCACATAGCATTGAATCTAGCATTGTTTGTAAAGATCTTATCTTGCGTTCTGCAACTGAATTTTCTTCAGGCGAAAAAGGACACGATTTACGGTGACTAATACCACGCTTTTTCAACCAAACTTGGAGGGCTTCAGACATGAACTCGCCTCCACGGTCACTTTGCAACTGGGTAATTTTGTAGGGAAACTGCCTTTCTATATAGTTGACCCAATTCTTAATCAGTTGACCAGTTTCACTTTTGTGTTTTAACAGATATACCCAAGTATACCGGCTATAATCATCCACAAGAATCAAAAAAAACTTTGCTCCTCCTTCAGACTCTGCAAATGGCCCACAAAGGTCTGAATGTACTAAAGCAAATGGCCTCTTGCTTATTCTAGTACTTTCAGGATAAGACCCTCGCTTACTTTTAGACTCCTTGCAGGTATTGCAGTCTAGAAAAACTGAACATTTTTTCATTTTAATTCCCTTGCTTAATTCTGGCATTTTCGCAATACTGCGGAAATTGGCATGCCCCAAATGACAATGCCACAGATGCTGACACTCATCATGCAAGGCTCTATTATAGGCTTTAACACATGCCCCAGACTCATTTACTAGCTGGTCTTTCAAAACAAACAAACCATTTTGTAGCGACGCTGTAACCACTTTTCCAGCTTTCTCTATTCTACAGCCTGAACCAGAAAAGGTTACTTTAAATCCCTGCTTAACAAGACTTGTAACTGAAAGCAAATTATTTTCTAAACTTGGTACACATAAAACATTGGTAAACTTGGTACTTAAACAGTTGATATTCACACTACCCTTTCCAGCTGACTCATGCACTGTTCCATCAGCTAGTACTACATTTACAGATTTACAAGGCTGCTTTTCTACAAGGGTTTGTGCAGACTTGACAAAAATGTTTGTCGCTGCTGAGTCTAAAATCCAGTCTTGTCCAACGTCGTGACTGGTGCCTCGGACTGCTGCAGAAACATACTGGATTCGATTCTTCCTGTCTCCTCGCTTCCCAGCAAACGCAGGCCGCCCTTGTCTTGTATTTTCTCCCACAGACACAGTGCACTGTCGTACTAAATGCTTAGTTGACCCACAACGATAGCATCTTCTAACTGTGAACGCTGCTTCCTCTCTGTGGTCTACAACCTCTTTAGGATGCTGCTCCTCATCAGTTGCATATCTTTTACTGGACTGCCTCCCATTTCTGGAGTTACGGTGAGGGGTTGTGGCCTTCCTCTCATGGTGTCTTTCCTCCTCATCAAGCAAACGGCCAGTTAAGAAATGCATTGTTAATTGGCTTTCTGGGATTGCTTCCAGAGTCATCACTAAATTGTCCCATGACTCAGGAAGTGAAGACAGCACAATATAAACTTTTCTCTGTTCAGAAAAATGTTCCCCAAGTTCATTTAACTGTGAAAACAAATCACGCATTCTTTGAAGGTGTGTTGAAACACATTCACCCTCACTTAGTCTGGCTCGGTACAGAGCTCTCGTTAGAGTAATTTTGCTGCCAGCAGTGTCTCTAATATGTATCGCTCTCAGTGCTTGCCAAATCTCACTTGCTGTTTCAAGGTCTCGCACATGAGATAACTGAGACTTCTCTAAACTCAAAATTAAATTGGCATAGGCTTTGTCCTCCAGCCTTTGGTCTGCTTCATCTACTTCTTCATCCTCCTCTTTTACAGGAGGGTTAACAATAAGATTCCAACATTGTTCTTTCTTTAAAAACGCCTGCATCTGTAAACTCCATGACATATAATTGGACTCTCCCAGTTTCTCTACTGGAAAATAGGAAGCTCCCCCTTGAGCTCCAGCTCCAAGTCCAGCCATGGCACCACCCAGCTTTCAGCTTTCCACTCAGTTCTTACTCACACGTGGCTTGAAGAAAAATGTTCGGCTCCTGGTCCCAAACAGACACTCCCTGCCAATGCCTTCACACAGCCAGCTGCTTGAGAAATGCTGAGTTGCTTCCAGTCTCTGGGTTCTTTTCACGCTCTGTCTCTGCCCACTCAGGACTGGGGACTGGGCCCATAACCTGTTGGAGGGGAATTTCCAGCCGGTGGCAGAGGACAGATGGACTCCAGGAGACATAGGTGTAAAAACCCAAACAAAAACGAAAGCTTTATTACTAAGCAAATAAACACAAACTCTGGTGGATGTTATTCCTGCAGGCAAGCAAAAAAACTCAGCTTTTTTCCTTTATAGCAATGGTCACCTGCAGCCAATTAATCCCAGAAACTTCTTAAAGGTATACACACATGTTTCTGTGCCGAATGTCCTCTAACAGTCTGGGGGGCCTGGTAGGAATTTTTCCATTTGGCATTAGGCTTTTTGGTTTTTTCACCTACCTCGTAGCAATCGTCACAACTTTTGTGGTATTGGTGGGTAGGTTAGGCATTGGATTCATGTGTTGTGCTGTGTCAAGGGCTAGGTGTGGCCATCGCCTATGCTATCTACCGTGGGTTAGTCCGTTAAAGGAATCTGGTGGTCGTGTATTCCGTCCGATGCCTGCTTGGCGGGAGGCCATGGCACGACCCTCGGTGACATCAGGGGGTGAGCCTATAGTTGGATGAGCATCAACAGGCTGCACCTACTGTTGAATAAACCCACCACCTATAGTCATCCAATGCCTAAGCCAATACCTTTTCACTGCTGTAATCAATAAAGTTGTGGCCTTTTCTTGCCCATTAACCTTATACCACGTGTCCATGTGTATTTATTTCACATAGCGGGGTCGGGGCCCTCGATCCACAATGATTTTTTCAGATGGCAGAGATTTTAAAATAAAATAAAGAGGAGTTGAATGGGGAGTCATTTTGTGTCGGTGTCTTGTGTCAGTTGTTGCTTATTGAAACCCATTTCTGTTTCTGACCCCTCCCCCTCCCACTGTGACTCAGTGTCAGACTTCAGAGAATTGGCATTCCTTCCCCCTTTGGCTGTACATAAGCAGATCAAAGGAAAAGGAGTCTTTTTACCAGTTAGAAAGTTTAATGATCACAGCGAGAGAACAAAGAATCCATTTCCTAGAAACGGTGGCACTCCCAATTCAGGGTTCCACCTACTTCCTCCCTAGTCACCCATGTCACTACCGTGTCTTGTAACTACTGTGCTTTCTGTGCTGCCACCTTATCAGCTCTTCCTGACCTTGGGCTGAGCAGATGAATGCTTTCCAGAGACAGTGAATCTGTTAACCCTCTCTCTCCCAGTGCTTCTCCTAGCTGTTCCCCATCCAGTATTTCCCAGCTTCTGCCTTCTGAACTGTGTCCGTCTGCAAACCACCTTTCCAAATCTATACTGCTCTGGGAAGATTCAGGATCCGGATCAGGCGGAGGCTCCCACTGTTCCTCCTCAGTGCACCCCTCCTCAGCACGGTCCCCGACACTCAGATAAGCATAGAGGAAATACATTGACTTATGGCTTGTGCACAGGGGAAGCTTCCTGATCTGAAAGCCATTTCATAACCTGTTTCCTACTCATTATTTCACACTGTTTTTTGAAATAGAGGGTCTACTCCTCCAAAGCTTCCAATCTCCCCAGGTTTGTGTAATGTTCTGCCATGTTGCTGTCTGATACAGGTATGGATATGGGTGATTAAAGCAAATGATTTTTATTTCCACATGCATTAGAAACACACACAGACTCCTGTACCCTTGAGCTTTCAGGGCTCAGACATGGGACAAATACATATGCAGGGAATCAACATGGTAATTAATAATTAGCAAAGACTCTTTTAAACATTTCTTCTTGATTCAGTTTTAGAACTGGAAGCTTCTAAAGAAATCAAACATTTTCAGTGAAGGTGTAGGAGATGACATAACATTTTTTATCTGGGCCTTGAAAATCCTATGGTACAATGAGGCTTTCATCAAAGTGCACAGGCTTCCCATCCTGATTACAGGCAATGACGATGTACCTGGATGACTTGTTATCAGAGTACTTGCAAGGTGGGCGAGTTGAGCCGCCTTTGTGCTTGCAGGTGGTGACAGTGAAGGGGCGGAGACTAATCCTCAACCCCTTCCCATAATCCTTCCCTCCAGATGCAGTGCACACAGCTATGATGTTATTCTTGGTGCCGTGGATGAAGGTGTTCACTTCCTTGCATGCTGGTTTGTCCAGCCCACGTCTTTTCATCATGACATCACAATACTGCTTGCCGACGCTGCTCTTGGGATTATCGTAGTGCTGGGTTAGGAACGTCTCATAGCTGGGTGCACAATAGGCTCCCAGGACTAGCACAGACACCAGAAGGGTGAGGAGCACAAGGCCAGATCCCTTGAAAGGCATCCTTGTGGGCGACCGCCGCCTGAAAGAGATACCTGGGGGGAAAGTAAAGTGGGTGTATAAACGCTTTCTTTCAGGCTGCTTTGTGAAACGGCTTGGAGTTCAAACGAATACTGTACAGTCGTACCTTGGATCCCAAACGCCCTGGAACTTGGAAGTTTTGACTCCTGAATGCCACAAACCCAGAAGTGACTGTTCCGGTTTGGAAACGTTCTTTGGAACCCGAACATCCAACGGGGCTTCTGTGGCTTCCGCTTGGCTACAGGACCTTCCTGCACCCAGTCAGAAGCCATGCTTTGCTTTCTGAACATTTTGGAAGTCAAACGGACTTCCAGAATGGATTCCGTTCGACTCTCAATGTGACTGTACAGTGGTACCTCGGGTTACAGATGCTTCAGGTTACAGACTCCACTAACCCAGAAATAGTACCTTGGGTAAAGAACTTTGCTTCAGGATGAGAACAGAAGTTGCAGAGTGGTGGCGCAGCGGCAGCAGCAGTGGGAGATCCCATTAGCTAAAGTGGTACCTCAGGTTAAGAACAGTTTCAGGTTAAGAATGGACCTCTGGAATGAATTATGTTCTTAACCCGAGGTACCACTGTATATCCTTTCAAATTCTCATCTGCAAATGTTTTGGTGGATGTTGTCTAGTCATGATCACATGTCTGTGTGAATATTGACACTTGCCAGTCAGTACTTGATAAACAACAATGTGTTGAGTCAGGATTTCACAGTATGTGACCACTGTCATGCAACAACAGTCTACGGAGGACAGTATCCACACAATGCATTTTATAGAGCATGACCATTCCATTTGTGTACACCCTTCACAAGTGGGTAGAATTTTCGCTATTATGTTTTTGACAACGGGACAAATTTCAAGTGCAGGCGGTAAAATAATTAACACCATCCACCTTCTGGATGTTGGCTACTGTATTAATTACCCACCATGCCTCTGACATTATGCTACATAAGACAAGAAGCTTAGACCATTGTTGAGGGTCAGGGAGATGAGGCCAAGAGATATTTGTATAAACCGTGTAAGTTTCTTGCTGAAGCGAGATCTGAGCAAGGGACGGAATGAATCTGAGCTCCACCTCTGACCCTAAGCCATAGAGAGGGGATACAGATATAGCAGATTTGAAGTAGGGTGACGAAAAAGAGGGTCTCTTGATTCTATCCTCCTCTGGCCAGAGACAGAGAAAATATACATCTATCACCATTTACAAGGGATAGTCCTCATGATATGCAAATTCCTGTGCTTAGTATTTCATTTGCATTTTAGGGGGGGGTGTATGTGTTAGAGATTTTGTGGGGGTGAAATAATGCCTTTGGGGGGGCTGTTTTCTGAAGTTGCCATATTCAGGATTGGGTGCTCCCACCTCAGTGTCCATGGAAATTAAATCTTTGGGGGCTGGTGATTGTGGGGGGGGGGGGGAGGCATATTCACTCTAACATGTAGGCATGAAAACTTTTACTAAATTTGCCTGCAGTCATCAATTTTTTCACATAGCCTTTTCAATAAACAGAACTTTGAAACATACAGTTTAACTTATTTCCCCTTGCCTAGTAGCATTTAATGAGACCTAAATCAGAGTCATTTTTGCATGTTGCAATTTGGACACACAACAGCTCCCCCATCTAGTGGTTCAATGCTGTATGTTCACCCCTCTTAAAAAAAAGTATTCCCCTTATAATAAGTCTGCTCACCTTTCCCGCTTGGCAGCTTAAACAAAGCTTCAACAATGGTCTAAGCCAGGCATCCCCAAACTCGGCCCTCCAGATGTTTTGGGACTACAACATCCCTAGCTAACAGGACCAGTGGTCTGGGATGATGGCAATTGTAGTCCCTACACATATGGAAGGCTGAGTTTGGGGATGCCTGGTCTTAGCTTTCCTTTCTGGCCATTAATTCAGCCAGAAAGAAAGCAATCACCTGTCTTCACCTTCGACAAGGAAGCCTTGTCTCGCGGTGACGGGGTACACCTTCATGATGTCGGCAATGATACCCTGTTGAATGACACTTCAGAGTGCATCAGGGACTGGTTGCAGGTGTGAGGGTGTTGGCGGCAAGCCCTTTGGGCTCGAGTGGCGGTTAGCCTTTGTTTGTATGGAGGGGAGGTTGTAGCCTCCGCCTGTCCCTCCTCAGTAAGGGTATCCTGTTAAAGGGATCCGGGGTTGTGAATTCTATCCAATGCTGGGACGTGGGCTAGGGCCATGTCACAACCCTTACGGGGACCCCTCGGGGTGTCCCTAATTGATGTAAGTCATAGGGCACCCCCTAATGGTGGTTTACCCTTAGATGGACTCCCAGCAGACAGGCAGGAGTCAAGATATAGCCTGGTTTCGCCCAATGCCTAAGCCAAATAGCTCATATCTGTAACCAATAAAGTTGTGGCTTATTGGAACCCATAAACCAAAACACTCATGTCCGTGTGTTTATTGTCCATTAGGTGGACAATAATGGGGGCCTTTCCTCTGGTCCATGGACAGAACTGAACGACTAAACCAAAACAATATGGGGGCCTTGGCAAGCAACAACATGTTTTACATTCTACTTATGTTTCCCAAGCATAAAGGCTATTTTTCTAGAAAAAGAGGTGCCAGAACTCATCACAAACACCTCTCTTCTTCACTTTAAATGGCAATGGTGCCCTCATGAGAGATGCCAGGACCGAGTTCCAGGGAGTTCTGGCTGAAAAAAGCCCTACAAGCAAGTAATGTTCTCTGAAATGTTCCTTTACCCAACATTAGGGTCACCATAAGTCTAGAATTTCCCGGACACAGCTAGGATTTGGCCAGTGTCTGAGTGGAATTTGCTGAAATGTCCAGAAAAATCTGGACACATGACAACCCATGTCAGAAATGTTGATTTAGGTGAATTTCCTTAAAAACAGTTCAAAATCTTAATTTGTAAAAAATGCCAAAAACTTTTGTTTCTGCATATGACAGTCCTACCCAAGATTTATTTATATATAATGTGCTTAAAGTTTGCAGTGTTAATTCTATATAGATTTTTACTCCCACCTTCCATAAACTGAAATAGATCCACGTTGCTGTCAACTTTCAATAACTGTTACGCTCTTATGCAACAACAATCAAAAAGGTAGTCCCTACTCGCAGGCTGAAGATTGTAATTATACAAAAGGAAAAAGGGATGAGCAAAGAGGAAAAAGACAGACCTTAAAGTCAAAACAGATGGATTAAGAAATATATAAAATTCAAGTCAGACCCTCCTTTCTCTTTCAGATGTCCCAATAAATTCTGGAGAAAGCATTGTAACCTGAATTTCAGCATGCTGAATGAATGAATATCTGCATACAGAAATAAAATTCCAGAGGGGGTGCACACAAGGAGAAAAGTGTTGTTAAAAGTGGAAAAGGTTTATTCTATCAAATTGAAAATCAGAAAATCAGGGAAAATTGAAACCAGATATGGAAGAAAAGAAATGACAAAATTTAGCTATTCAAAAGCTGGCTGATTAAAAACCCACCTACAGTGTGCTTTCTAGGCCACCTTTCCCGCTCTTGAACAAAACAATGAAAAATAGCTTTGTAGATGAGCATGTCCAAACCTTTTTCTTACCTAGTGTAATAGAAATTGGTCTCCCAAAGAGTGGATCAAAATATCTTCTTTCGCTCGTATGCGCCTCTGAGCATCCTTCAGGAAGAGACACCTTATATAGAGAGAATTCCAACCTATGCTCAAAGAGTGGTTAGACTCACCCCAAAGCAATGTGCAATTGGTTCCCTGCCCCATGCTGACCTTCTCTGCCGTGATTGGAATCCCCACAGGCGGCATTTCAAGAATGAGTCCATGATGCGGCTACGACTAGCTATACTATCTCAGAAAACAATGATCTCTTGGGCCAATAGGGAGCAACAGGTTTGATTGCTGCTTTCTCTTGTCGCTCCTTTTCCCGCACTCAAACCAGAAAAGGAGTTGGAAGGAAAGAGTAGAGGAGACCTGCTGGCCACGATCTGTTCAGCACATCCATGCCTTCCACCAACTGTGAGGTATAAAGCCTTCAGCATCCCCTTGTAGTCTCCTGAATCAATTATGTGGGTGCCTTTTTCAGGAAACATTACTCCATGATGCCTCTTCAGCAACAGACACACATTTCTCCTCTTCAAGCTGGATCACTAAGCAATGCCATAGACCAGGCATAGGCAAACTTCGGCCCTCCAGTTGTTTGGGACTACAACTCCCATCATCCCTAGCTAACAGGACCAGTGGTCAGGGATTATGGGAATTGTAGTCCCAAACATCTGGAGGGCTGGAGCTTGCCTATGCCTGGCATAGACTGCTGGGCCAGCCTCAGTTGGCCTCTTGGGAAATTATATGGCTCTGGGGAGAAATGCCCCTGAGCAGAGATAAAGGAAGACACAAGGAACTCACTGAGCAGAAAGAACAGGAGTTTGGACTAGTTGGCCCTTTAGGCTGATCCAGTGGGGCTTATTTTATGTTCTTAATGTTTCTGGGAAAGGCTAAAGATTGGATCTCCCAAATAAGGAAATGACATTCTCTTGTCGTTGCAACGATCAGACTGCCCCAGCTCCCATTTGTTACCTGAAAAACTGGCTCTTTACTTTTATGGAGGGATGTTACTAGAATGCCATAGCTTTTTCAGCATTCATCTTGATCCCAATCTTTGATTTGCACAAACACACATAGACGGACACACAACTGAACAAATGTCACCTCCTACCCTCAAGGTCTAGATGAAGCACAGGGAAGAAGCTGTAGCTCTTCAGACATCTCCAAAGGCTGAAACTCGGAATAAGTATACTTTATATTTCAGTGCATTAGACATGGATTTTTTTACTCAAAAATAATGTCAAAAAACTGTGATCATCCTATTCATGGATAAGTTGGGGGGGGGGAGTCGCATGCCGCCAGCCAGCTGGTTGGCAGGAGCACAACTCCCCAACATGTTGCTGTGGGAGGCGCACGCTCTAGAGAGCATTTTCTGCAGTAGCATGGGGGGAGCGGCTGCCCACTTTGCCAACCCCCAGCAATGGCCCTGCTGGGGTGATGGCGCATGTGCAATTCCCCCTAAAAAAAGCTCAGCAAATTAGGGTATCCCTCCTCATTTTCATTAAATTTAGCCATGGCTCTCTGTGGCTCTTGGTGGTTGTTCTGCGCAGAAAAAAACAGGAAACGAAGTAAAGTTCAACAGAACATTTTCATGCTTTCCCTTTTTCTATCAGATTATATAACCCACTTCCTAGGAAATACCAAGGGAAAATCTGACAAGGGCTATGACAGCCTTGCTCAAATTGTAATCCTAATT